TAATTATATAATAATATTATAATAATATAATAGTAACAGTACCCTAAAAGTGATGTATGCTGCTCATATGCTGCTGGAACATGATACCGTATATTTTATAATAGTAACAGTACCCTAAAAGTGCTGTATGCTGCCCATAGACTCAATGACATTGTCTTCTGTTGATTGAGGGGAAAAATGGATGTATTGTCAATGTGCGGGTTAAATGGATTTAACTTTTAGCATTGATGTATCAAAGAAAATGCAAACATCATGTTCTTTATTCAACATGGAAATGTAAAAAAAACCCCCAAAAACCAAGATATCATTCTCATTAAATATATATCACAAAAGTGTTATTTTCCTTGTGTGTACTAGGGCTATATTATACTATATCTATATCTCTCTTCCATCAGGTTCAAGTGGAGCCGGATAATTACGCTCACTTGAAAGTGTTCAAACCTTCAGGTGGCAGTGGTCCGAATAAGCTGAGCGATTTTCAACTGGACAAAGGATTAAATGATGAAATAAGATATTTCTAATCAGCCGGGAATGCAGCCAGCAAGACTTTTCACTCAAGCTCAAACACTCATAAGAAAAAAACTACTTTCATAACTGATTCTATGACTCATTATTAGCTAGCCTGAAAGCCTACTATTTTATACCCACAATTTCATTTTTACAACAAATACTATTTAAGGATCTCGCTCAGCATCTTGCAAGTATAGAATGTAATGTAGAAAACACTTGCACGTTTTTCTACTTTGAAAAAAAACCTCACATATTTTTTGTAAGCAACTAAACTAGATCTAGTGACAAAATACAGGAAATAACTTATACCTGGTAGAGTCATCTGATATACTCATTTTTCATGATTAGAGTTTATTATACATGTAATTGAAGTATGAATGTTCAGTAAGAAAAGGAAAGTAGAAAGACGTGCACTGTATTCTTTCCTATAACATTTATTGTCTCTTTGTTGTACGTCTGTTCCACATTTGAGGCCTTTTTTTTTCTTAAGTCAATGCGAAGAATTTATGTTATAACTCTGTTGTAAAAGACCAAAATTAATGTAGCCCAGGGGACTTTGATTTTACAATGACATCTTAATCTTGTCCAATAAATCTGTGACGTTCCAAAAATGAATGTCCCATTTTCATTTTGTTTCTTTGAATTTCACCAACATCTATAATTTCTTCATTTTTTTCTCTGTTGTTTCTGTTAATCTAATGTCATGTCTAGGGGTTTTTGTTTTTTGGGGTTTCTCTCTCTCTCTCTCTCTCTCTCTCTCTCTCTCTCTCTCTCTCTCTCTCTCTCTCTCTCTCTC